TCGTGTAGACAGAGGCTCAGCTCCAACTCCAGCACCCCCAGCACCAGGGCCTCGGGCAGGCACAGTCTCAGCTCCAACTCCAACACCTCCAGAGGGAGCACCCCCAGCATCCTCGACAGGAGCACCTGCTCCCATAGGGTCTGCAGTAGGTCGTGAGGAGGACTGTGGAAATGGGACGGCGTCTAAGGGGCTACCGAGGGAGGGGGGGGTAGCGTGTGACACACTTGATGGGGCTGAACCAGAGGGGGGGGGGGGGGGGGCTGTACCGGAGGGGCAGGAGGGAAAGCAGGAGTCAGAAAGAGAGGGGGAGGAGGAACCGGTAGACCTCGACAAGGGTACCGGGTGTAGTAGGGGACTGGCTCGACAAAACGAACGTCGCGGGACTCAAAGAACCGATGAAGGAAGGGGGGGGGGGGGGGGTAAAGGGTGAAGCCAGAGGAGTCCTTGGGGAAACCAAGGAAGACACGGGGAAGGGCACGAGGGGAGAGCTTATCCGCGGAGGTGTTGCGAACAAGCGCCAGGCAGCCCTAGACACGAAAACGCGACGCAGCAACAGGGGACCCGGTCCAAAGACTGGTTGGTGAAGCCTCTGGCCAAGAGGCACGTGGCCAGGGGTTCAGCTAGTGAGCGGCGTACAAAACCACGTAGGGCCACAGTTAATGAGGCACACGGGGCAAAACTCACCCCCGCAGTCAGAGTAAAGACAGCTGACACGACGACCACGAGTGTGCGCAGTGGTAAGTAACCACCGGATTAGCGTAGAAGTCACCTCAGACTTCTTTGCCAGGGGGGACAATGTGGTGTAGCGAGAGTAGTCGTCAACGACCACCAGAAAGAAACTTTCTTGCTCAGGGCCAGGGCGAGGGGCGGGGCCCCAGATGTCCAAGTGGAGAGTCTCGAAGGGCTCGGTGGCTAGACAAAGGGTGGAGAGTGAGGGGTGGCGCGCAGCCGACCCTCGACGCAGGGACCGCAAGGTGGTGCAAGCGAAGGCGGCCTAAGACAAGACGCTGACAAGACATAGTGCGCAGGCGAGGAATGGACGGGTGCCCTATGCGGTGGTGCCACATAATGGTGGGGTGAGCAAGCGACCGACAGGAGCAAGACGCAGCAACAGGACCAGACACGGGAACCTGACCAGACACAGCTACCTGGTGAGACGCGGCAACCTGGTGAGACGCGGGAACCTGACGGGGGGAAGTGACAGGGGTCGGGGGCAGCAGCTGCTGTTGCTGCTGCTGCTGCTGCTGCTAATACTGCCCTTGGGGGCCAATCTAAAAGGTGACCAAAGCCTGGCTCAGCGGTAAAGGTGGCCACAGGCGTGCGTACGTGTCACCGTCTACACAGACTGTAGTCTCCCCAGAAGGCTCAATCCAAACACCCACTTAACCACTCACGAGCGGCCTTACACCCACCAAGTTCCTGGAAAACGAGGGGACGTGGAAGCCTGTCAGGAAACCCAAAGGAACAGCTAGGCACGCAAGCATAGTAGTCCAGCGAGCAGTGACCGGTCCCGAAGTGGGATCAGCCAGTGCTACAAAGACTGGCGCGGGAAGCGGAGAAAGCGTCGTATGGTCGCTGAAGAAACAGTGCGAAACTCCGGAGTCCAGAATGAAAGACATCGAAGTGTCCTTCGGAGCAGCTCCTAGACTAGTGTCTACACAAGTACCTACGCTAGCAACAGGCACCTCAGCAACACTAGCACCTAAAGTAACAACACACGAGTAAACAGAGTCAGAAGCACTAGAGTCAACAACAGCATACATAGCATGAGGAGTTCCTAAGAGATCAAGCAACTAAGAAGCCGACATGCCCCACAGAGCGAGGCCGTACGTCCGAACAAGGGGAAGCCAGTCAGGGGCAGGGCCGCCAACGCCGTAGGCCGCACGAAGTGTGTCAGTGAGCTGAGCAAAGCACTGTCCCGGTGGGTGTGTGCGGCCACGGGGGAGGCCTCGGCGAGCACCTGTCTGACAAGATAGGTGCAGGGAGGGTGGACGGCACCACGCGACGGCTGACGCGGTCCTGTTCCCTGCCCCGGAGTCTGCTGCTACCGCTGTTGCTGCTGCGGCTGCTGCGAGAGGAGTGGCGGCTGCTGCGAGAGGAGTGGCTGCTGCTGCTGCTGCCGTTGAGTCATGTACCAAGCCGCCATTCCAGCATCTGCACCTGGTGAACCAACAGGTGCCTAACAAACCCGAGCGTCACCTCCACCAGCTGCAGCAAGGGAGTCACTAGCCGCTGCACGAGTGGCTCCTCCAACCTCTTTACTCCTGCCACCACCGCTCGCCACGCCACCTCCGCCGCCTCCTCCGCCTTCGCCTGCACCCTGACCGCCCCTCTTGCCACTCCTACCGTAGACCACGAAAAAGTCGTAACAGCAGCTGCGGTCACATCAGTAGCGGCAGTGGCGAGGGAGGCAATAAAGGTGCGCAGCTGAGGGACAGTGCACCCGTGAAATAGTGGAGGGGGCACAACACCAGAGGCGGATGCTACCGATTGGAGGTTGCTCTCGACGTCCTTTAGGGAAGACTCAAGGACCTCAATAGTAAGCTCACTAGGGTGCTTCAGAAGAAGCGCGTCACGAGCCGAGGCATGGCGGTCAGAGAGGCTAGAGGCGATGAAATAGATAGTAATGGCCCTAGGGGGAGGGAGCAGTGCAAGTTGTGCGTCAGTGCAGGCAGCGTGGTAGCTAGAATCGAGCGAGCACATGTGAGCAATCAAGTCAGCAGAGCGCTCAAACAAGGCGAGGTAAGGAAACAGGAACGGGAGGAACAGTCGACCAAGAGAGACAGGTGGTGGGAGTAGCATAGCGGGCCTTGATCGCAGTTAGGAACTCACTAGCCACCTGAGTGAAATGGGCCTCCTCAGACTTAGGAAGTTGCTGAGGGTGGTGCAGGCCGCAGCGTCACGCGACTTCCACGCTGGCGGGCATAACGGTCTCTGTCTGCACTGCTTGGGTCAGCGCCTAAGGGTGCATGGTTTTCGGGCTTAGGAAGGTCGCCGAAAGTGTGCGCCTACACAGATTCACCAGCCTGAACCAGACTCACCTGCCAGAACGTGACTCACAGACCGCAGGAGCCAGACCGAGAACTCAAGCGGCCTACCCTCGGCGTCAAAGCGTAGGACCCTAGGGGTCGCCATAGCGGTAGCAAAGAGGTGGGAACTGCTGCTGCCAAAACCCTAAACGCCTAAAGGGCTTGCGTAGGGCGTGACAGGCAGTGCGTGAGGCTCGGGGCACGGCAGAACGGCAGGGTAGGGCGCGACACGGCAGGATGGGCAGCGCGGCGCTAAGGGACATGACGGGCGCAGGGCAGGACGGGAAGCGCGCGGCGCGGCGCGGTGCCGAACGGCAGGCAGGGCGGGATGCGCGCGGCTCGGCGCTGCGCGGCAGGCAGGACGGGACGGGCGCGGTGTGGCGCTGCGGGACGGTCATGCAGGGCAGACGGGACGTGCACGATGGGCTAGACGGGACGGGACAGATGCGACGCGACGGACGGAACAGATGCGACACGACGGGCGGGACAACCGTAACGCGGCGCGACGGACGGGACGGACGCGACGCGACGGACAGGGGCGACGCGATGGACGGGATAGACGGGACGGGGGCGACGCGGCGGACAGGCGCAACGCGACGGACGGGACGGGCAGTGGGGGGGGGGGGGGGGGGGGGGGGGGGGGAGGGGGGGACGCGACGCGAAGGGGAAAGCGGGCGCGACGCGACCAGCAGGCGCAGCGGGCACTAGGGAACGGTACGAGCGTGACTAACATTAGGGTACGGGACAGGCTCGGGCGTTATGGGCGTGAGCGGGAAGAACAGGATCCCACAGGATCCGAACCTAGGTGATACCATATCAAGAACTGAATGATGGTTTCACTAAGGTTGGTTGGGGTACATAAATCTAACCCTAACTGTTGTACAACATAAGTCACATATCACTACGACTGTAACATCTGTAACTACACTTTAAAAAGCGGGGTAGGCTAGGAAAGTAGATATAAGACCAGATGTTATGAATGAACCCACAGAATGCGCAGCTTAATGATTCACGAGATTGTTGAACTACAAAATGCCTTTACAATGAAAACAGAGAGACTAAATAAGGGAAGTCCTACCTAGGCGAAGAGGTCGGGAAAGGGTGGCTCGCGAAAGGTCGCGATTGGTGCGGAGGCGACTCGGTGTGGTTTGGATGCGGAAATGTAGGCCAAACCATCTGACGCATTGCCCGCGGATTGTACTTTCTAAAACGCGGGTACAAGGAATTATAATTCCTTACATCATTCCTTATTATTCATTCTACAGTTACCATTGTAACATTGGTATCGATCTAGATCGATTCGTTGAGCTCACCGGCCCGTGCCCCGCCAGATCCCGTAGCGCCCCGTAGTTATAAGCGCCCCGTACCCGCAGCGCCCGTGTAGCTCGCGCCCCCGTCCCCTCCCCGTCGCGCCCCCGTCGCGTCCCCGCTACCTCCCCGCTACCTCCCCGTCGCCTCCCGTCGCCTCCCCGTCCCCTTCCCCCGTCGCGTCCCCGTCACCTCCCGTCCCTTCCCCGTTCTCCTCCGCGTCGCATTCCCGGCTTTCGTCGGCTCCCCGTCCCCATCCCCGTCGCGTCCCCGTCCCTCCCCGTCGCCTCCGCGTCGCATCCCCGTCGCCTCCCGTCGCCTCCCCGTCCCCTTCCCCGTCACGTCCCCGTCACCTCCCGTCCCCTCCTATGTTTCTTGAGCAAATGCCTGAATCGCCATCGTGACCTTGGAAACGCATACGGGAGGAGCAACAGCAAACGGGGTGAAGAAATGTCGTCGCCGACTGCAGCGACAGTGGCGCGGCGACGGCGCGGACTGAGTGGGCCCCGCGCGGCGTCGCCGCCCCCTGGAACCGGTACGCCATTACCGTGGCGGCAGCAGCAGCGCTGGTGGCACGCAGGCCGCTGTCGCCTCTATAGAATGTGACAGGGGCTCTTTTTTCGCTCGTGATCCTACTAATGTATAACGTGTCCTCCCTGCTTCATGCGTGCTGTTCCCATTCGTAGCCATTGCCTTCCCACGCCATTCAAGTCGACCGAATCTCACATCACATCGTCCCCCGTCCACCTCCCGCGTCTGACCCCCCCAGTATCGCGGTGGGGTCAGCAACGCGCGCTCAAGGCGGCACTGCTGGCGGCGCTGGGCGCGGCGTGCTGCATCGCGTTTCTGCGCGCCGGCCTGCCGTTTCGCGGCCAGTCGACGCACGCAGACGAGGACTCGTTTTTCCAAGTAATTGCTCGTCTCTCTTCACTCGTCTGCGCACAGCCCCCCACATTTCCATCTCCTTCGCCTCCCCTCCTGTTCCATGTGCAACCCTCTCCTCGCTCTGCCCCACCTCTCCGCACTCAGCCTCACATCTCCCCCTTCTGCCCCAGCTCCCCTCTCCTGCCTCACCTCTCCGTTGGCTTCCCCGCCTGCCTCCGCGCCCATTATCTTGACCACAGGCGGACGAGGGTGGTCAAGCGGGTGGCGTGGAGGAGGATGGGTGGCCGGTGATGGGCGGGGTGAGGTGGAGGGGGTGTGCGGGACGAGCCACTGCACTGCCTGCTGCCATGGGTGAACTCTCAAACCATGCATCTGCTCTCCCATGCATGCATTTGACAAGCCACTGCACTGCCTGCTGCCATGGGTGAACTCTCAAACCATGCATCTGCTCTCCCATGCATGCATTTGACAAGCCACTGCCCTGCGTGCTGCCATGGGTGGGTGGGTCATTCGTGACGCTGATCTCTCAAACACATGTGTCTGTAGCTGTCACACGTGTGTAGTGAGCGTGCCTGTCTCCTTTGCGATGCACCTGTGAAGTACAGCTGTGTGTTTGCTGTATTCCCCTCTACTCTCCCGCGCTCATCCTCTCTTCCATGTTAGCTCCAAATGCCTCCTTTTGTTCATGCATGCTTTTCGTGCTAACCTGCCCGCCATCTGCTCTACTGTGTGCGCAGCCGGCAGAGGAGGGGAGGACCAGGGGGGCTATTTGGTGGTGCAGCTGGCAGGGGGGCTCAACCAGATGCGCGCAGGGGTGGGTGGGGGGCTCTCAACCCCTCGTTTCCCAGCCTCGTTCTCATGCTCGCTCCCTCCCGCCCCTGCTCTCACTCACGTTCTCCTCACCTGTTGCTTTGCTGCCCTAAACAGTTACCCTGCACTTCTCGCCAACCCCTCCACCCTCCTTCCCCCACTTCCCCTCACTCTACCCCTTTTCCCCCTGGGCCTCCCCTCACTCTACCCCTTTCCCCCTGGGCCTCCCCTCACTCTACCCCTTTCCCCCCCGGGCCTCCCATCCCTCCACCCCTGACCCCCCTGCCGCTCCCCCATGGGGGAGCAGATCTGTGACGCGGTGGTGGTGGCAAAGCTGCTGGGAGCGTCGCTGATGCTGCCGTTGTTGGATAACTCCTCCTGGTGGGCCGACGGCAGGTGGGTGAGGTCCATGGCAGGTGAGGGCCATGGCAGGTGAGGGCCATGGCAGGTGAGGGCCATGGCAGGTGAGGGCCATGGCAGGTGAGGGCCATGGCAGGTGAGGGCCATGGCAGGTGAGGGCCATGGCAGGTGAGGGCCATGGCAGGTGAGGGCCATGGCAGGTGAGGGCCATGGCAGGTGAGGGCCATGGCAGGTGAGGGCCATGGCAGGTGAGGTCCATGGCAGGTGAGGGCCATGGCAGGTGAGGGCCATGGCAGGTGAGGGCCATGGCAGGTGAGGGCCATGGCAGGTGAGGTCCATGGCAGGTGAGGTCCATGGCAGGTGAGGTCCATGGCAGGTGAGGTCCATGGCAGGTGAGGTCCATGGCAGGTGAGTGGATAATGAGACGTGGCTGATGAGGTGTGAGAATGAGAGTGGGCGAGCAGCACCGTTGGTGTTGGTGGAATGGAAGGACTGCCCAATCACCGCACCGCGTGCCCCCCTCATTCATTCCCCTACCTCCCTCCCACCATCCACATCCGCGCTTCCTACACCTCCCACCCCAGTTGTCCGCATCGTCCTTTCATGTTGAACGTTCCCCACCACCCGCCCTCGGCAGCACATTTGCGGACGTGTTTGACGCGGGGCACTTTGCGCGGGTGCTGGCGCCGTGGGTGCGCGTGGTGGACCGCCTGCCCTCCGCGCTGCGCCACCGCCCCCCCCTCGACCGCACCGTGCCGCGCGGCTCCACTGCTGAGTACTACGAGACACGCGTCAGAGCGATGATCAGGTGCTGTGCCAGTCAGAGCGATGATCAGGTGCTGTGCCAGTCAGAGCGATGATCAGGTGCTGTGCCAGTCAGAGCGATGATCAGGTGCTGTGCCAGTCAGAGCGATGATCAGGTGCTGTGCCAGTCAGAGCGATGATCAGGTGCTGTGCCAGTCAGAGCGATGATCAGGTGCTGTGCCAGTCAGAGCGATGATCAGGTGCTGTGCCAGTCAGAGCGATGATCAGGTGCTGTGCCAGTCAGAGCGATGATCAGGTGCTGTGCCAGTCAGAGCGATGATCAGGTGCTGTGCCAGTCAGAGCGATGATCAGGTGCTGTGCCAGTCAGAGCGATGATCAGGTGCTGTGCCAGTCAGAGCGATGATCAGGTGCTGTGCCAGTCAGAGCGATGATCAGGTGCTGTGCCAGGCTGTATGAGTAAAAGTGGCTGTGGCTGTGGCTGTGGCTGTGGCTGTGGCTGATGGCACATGGCTGTGGCTGTGGCACTGGCACGGATTCGTTGAAAGCACATGATGGCAGCAGTAATTAATTAGGCACTACTTTTTGTCCAAGCGTCATCTACTGTTCCTATCCTTTCTCTGTTTTTACCCTTCCTGCCTCAATCGCTCCCGCCTTCTGTACTGCTGTCCCTTCCCCATCCCATGCGACATGCTCTGCTCTCTCCCGTCCCCCTGACTCGTGTCTACTTGGCAGAAAGGCGCAGGTGCTGAAGCTGAACCATTTCGATTCCAGGCTGCATGATGACCTCCCGTTACACCTGCAGAAGGTACCAGCTCGAAAACCTATCCGTGGTTCAACATTTCTTGTTTCTCCTTTTCGTTCTCTTTCCGAGCACACTTACGAGATCAATGGAACAGGTACCACGATACAGAGATTGCCGCATGCCCATGTTGACTACCCTTAGGTGCCATGACCTGATTGCACGTTGGTAAACCACGTGGCTACTCACCCACTCTATCCATTGTTCCCTTCTCCTGCCACTGTATCATCCCCCCCTCCTCCTCCCCCCGACACCCCCTGTCTCCCCCATCTTCCTCTCCCCCTCCACTCCACCCTCTGTCCCCCCTGGCAGCTGCGCTGCGTGGCAAACTACGAGGCGCTGCACTTCGTGCCGGCGGTCACGCAAGCCGTCACGCGCCTCACCCACGCGCTCACCCACCCCTCCGCCACAGCCGCCACCACTGCCCTTGACCCCGCTGCTCAGGCCGGCGGTGCTGCAGCAGCAGCGCAAGGCACACAAGGGCAGCGGGGAGAGAGGGAGCAGGTTGAGGGAGGGATGCAGGCGAAGGGGAATGGTGGGGTGGTCAAGTATGTCGCGATTCATCTGAGGTACGACGGACATGGGGGGTGACATGGGCATGGGGGGTGACATGGGCATGGGGGGTGACATGGGCATGGGGGGTGACATGGGCATGGGATGAAATAGGAATGGGAGGTGACCTCTGTGCTCCGGTATAGTTAACCTCACTCGATTGTGCCATAACCTTTCACTTTCCGGTGCCTTTTGTGTGTCTTTGCCATCTGTTGTTTAAGAGACCATTTGCAACTTCCATGCATCCTGTGCCAAGCACAAGGCGATATCCATGCAACTGCACATGGTGCAATCGATCCATCCCATGTGTTCCCTCCATGCCATCCCATGCACAACATGACGTGCCATGCGCCTGTCGTGCCATGCGCCATAGCAGGTACGAGCCGGACATGCTGGCATTCACGGGGTGCGAGTACGAGGGGGGCGCGGAGGAGAAGGTGCTGTTTGAGTCCATTCGACAGCGCTGGGCCAACCTGCCCGCCATGGACGCTGAGAAGCAGAGAGCCAAGGGCATGTGCATCGTCACCCCCTCCCAGGCATGTGCATCGTCACCCCCTCCCAGGCATGTGCATCGTCACCCCCTCCCAGGCATGTGCATCATCACTCCGTTGCATACCATGCCATGAGCCACTGAGCACATGAGCAACCACAGTCGGCATTGAGTGCAGCACGCTCTCTACCACTGCAATGCCACCCACTGCCACAACCATCCACCCTCTCACGTCTTTTCAACCCCTCCCCCCCCTCTACTCTGCATGTCCGTGTCCGCAGGTGGCAGTGGCCTTGCAGGCGCTGGGCTTGCCACCGTCCACGCGCGTGTACATCGCGTCGGGGGCACTGCACGGTGGGGCGGCGGCGCTGCAGCCGCTGCTGCACGCCTACCCCTTCACCACGGACAAGCACTCCCTCGCACACTCCCACGCCATGGCCCACGCCCGCACAGGGGGGCGCGACGATGACGACGATGAGGGGGATGAGGCATGGGGTGCGGGTGGGGGCGGGAGCAGGGAAGAGGGGGTGAGGGGGGAGGGGGGAAGGGCGTTGGCAGGGGTGGAGGGGCGCAAGACGCTGCTGGCGGCGGTGGACTATGAGATGTGTCGCGGGGCAGCGCTGCTCGTCACCAACAACAATGGCAACATGGCCCACCTGCTAGCGGGCCACAGAAGGTGCTGCCTTGGGGGGACTTGCTGTCCTGGGAGCATGCGAGCTTCGCAAGCCGTTTGACTGATGTTTGCCTCTTTTCCCTGTCCTCAATAAGCCAATATTTCTCCCCCGCACACCTCTACCACAACAGCTCTCTTCCCCTCCCTCTCCCTCCACGTCTCCCCCACCTCATCCCCTTCCCCGCCGCATGCGGCCACCCATAGGTACAACGGGGTGGGCGGCACGGTGCACCTCTTTGGCTCCTCCATCCACCGCCTCCTTGCTGCCATCCAACATGGGGATCACGAGGCTTCTCAGAAGCTTCGCAATCGACTGCTCAAGGGCGACCTGAGCAGTGAGAGGGAGAGCAATGAGAAGGCTGCAGCGAGAGGAGGGTTTTACGCATTTCCACGGGATTGTTTGTGTCAAGTCTGATTTTCCCGTTGCCTTTCGTAGTGTTACCAGCTGATCATGATTCTTGATGCGGAACGGAATGGTACCTATCCATGAGCTGAGTGCTCACATTTCTCACCAGCAGTGCCCACACCGCAACCCGTTGGCTCCACATGCGCTCACACCGCAACCCGGTGGCTCCACATGCGCTCACACGCAAGGGTAAAGCACAAGGACTGTGGGAACATGGCAGTGCATGTCTTGGGTCATGCAGGTGCAGGTGTTGGGGAAGGGGAGCTTGGGGCACATATGCAGGTGGCGTGTGCGCCGCACACAGCCTATAGCACTCGTGGGGAGAAGGGCAGTCAGCAGCTGATTCGGAGCGAGAACGCCTCGTGTGTGCCATGAGGCAGGCAGACATAAAGAACAATGGTGCTGTTGCCCAGGGGTAAGCGGGTTCAGGGTTTAGGGGGTGAAGGTTCTGGCAAGAAGTGAGGGCAGGGTAATGTAGAGAGGAGAATATGAATGTGAATGGAAAGCTATGCAATGCAGGTGACCATGTAGTGGCGTGAATGAAGCGGTTCAGTTGAGTTACGCAGGAGCAACACACAATGCAATCGTTGAATCGGAATTGGTACAGCGGATCAGTAATGGTACTCAAATACACAAGGGCAGGGAGGCTCCTCTTCATGCCTCACATGCTCTCGCACATGGCAGTCCTGAGAAGACGTGCTCGCCATCACGGCAGTGGCAGCTGGCCTGTCAGCAAGTGCCAACATGGCATGGCTAGTGAGCTGGCAGCAGCAGTGCAGCCCCATGCCTTGCTGCAAACCCTGGTAGAATGCTGTGCTAACAGGAATGGAGTGTTGGCCCCGCCCTCGCTTGGGCAACGCCGACGACTTGGTCGGATGCACGGGAGTAGCAGCCGACTGCTCACAGTGGGATAGCTGCTCGACAGGTTACGTCAAGCTGCAGCGGACCGCTGTGGTGTTGCTGTCGACCAAGGAGCTCAACAGCTGCAACTGACTGGTCTGTGCGATGGGTGGGCCGTCTAGGAGGTCGACGAAGCAGTCCGTCGACCTACAGTTCAACGGGGAGGTCTACGGAGCATCCCGTCAAACTGCAGTTCGACCAGGAGGTCTGCGGAGCATCCCGTCGACCTGCAGTTCGACCGGGAGGTCGACAGAGCAGTTCTGGTCGACGGAAGGGGTCCGTCGACCAGGGGGTATCTCGATGGGAGTTGTGGTCGACCAGGAGCGCCTGGTGGTCGACCAGAGGGGCCCAGTGGTCGACCGGAGGCACCTGGGGGTCGACCAGAGCACCAGGGATCGACCAGGTCAACCGGGTAACCTGCTCGACGAGTTCTGCGGAGGCTCGCGAACGTCGTCGAGATCGGATGGCGCAGGCGACTTCGGGCTGGTATCTCGAAATCGATGTGGCTCGTCAGGCGCAGACAACAGCCGACGGATGCCCAACGAGGCAAGTCGGGCCAATCGTCTGCGCACACCTGCGAGCGCGCGCACTGCTGTATTCTACGGGGCACGCCGTCAACCTGCTTTGTTGGCAGGTCGCCCTTCTGCAGTGCTGGCGCGGCTCCTCTACGCAATGCTGGCAGGCGGTCGATCGAGCTGCGCTGGCGGTCGACCAGGCTAGCTGCAGGGTTGCTAGGTGCCTGATGTAGTCATTGTTGTCATTGCTTCTTGTATTATTCTGGAATTGGAATTCTCAACTTTGCTAGTGAAAACTCTTACCAAATTCTCCCGTGAATGTGCAAGTACTAAGGAACCAAGCAAAGCTACGCTCACCTCTAGTAGTTCGTGCCAACTCTGTAGTCTAGCTCACTACCGTTGTAGAGTGAATCTCCGCATGGTGCGGTGAGCGTGGAACGAACACGCGACCTTCAGATAGGAGCCGACTTTTGCACCTACTAAGTCGTTCGTAGGCCGGCAGCAGCGATAGTCGCCATGGTCGACCCCGTAGTTGACGCGGATGTAACGGACACCTTGGAGGCACGTTTGGCTGACGCGAGGAGACGCCACACAGATGGCGAGTACGGGACGATCCCCTTGGTGATCGCCGAGTTGGGCATCCGGTCGCAGTGGGCGACGGAACACCTTCCCGTCCTACTTCTCCTTGACCGGTGCGCAACGAAGGTGGCGTCGACGACGAGGTCGACGGTGGTGCACAAGTCAGCGGCAGCGAAGGCACGAGGCAGAGAGGAGTGATCAAGGTCGACGGCGGTGTCGACGGAATCCAGGCGCGAGTGTAGCGGTCGACGGCTGCTGCAGGGAGCTCGTGTGCCGACGCCAATGTTCGACGCCGTTCTCCTCCACGAAGTGGTGGAGGGCTCTCGGTGACGACACACGTGACAGCGGGCGAGATTGCACCGGCGTATGGCTACTTCAGGTTCTCGCCGGACCGGATCGCCGTCGCTCCGCTGCAAGGTCGACGGGACCTCATCACCTGGAGGGAGTCGATCGAACCTTAGCTGGAGGTTGCCGGGCTGAAGGGCTTCGCCGACGGCACCGTGCCAATTCCGCCCGAGGAGGATGTCGGGCTGCGCCGGGAGTTTCGTTCTGCTCACCTGCTCACCTTCACGGTCATCTGGAGGTGCTGCTCGCCGGTGGTGCAGCTGGCGCTCAGGAGCTGTCGAGAGCGACTGGATGCTGGTCACCAGGCATGGCGCTTCATCATGTTGACGTAACTGGTCAGGGACGACCTGTACATCGGACAGCTAGAGGAGAAGATGACTCAGATTCGAATGGGCGAGTAGGAGTCGGCGACGGACTACTGCAATCGAGCTCGATGGATCCTAGCTGAGATGAGGATGGCGGGCGCCGAATACTCGATGGCGTCCTACATCACCCACGTCCTCAAGGGCCTGCCGCGCAGCTACAACCTCATGAAGAGGTTTACGATGGTGCCCAGCACACGTGAGTCCCTCGATGAGGACTCCCTTACCAGCTACATCCTCCAGGATGAGGCGATGCAGGAGGCTGAGCAGCCCACGGAGTTCCTTCCGCATGCGAGTTACGCTGCACCGACGAAGCCGAATTATCAGCAGGAGCAGCGCGGGAAGCCAGGGGGAGGTGGTAGCGGAGGTGGGCGGTCGACGAAGGACGTCGACGAGAAGAGGTCGACGCGGGACAAGGGTCGACGAGGTGGTGGTCGACGGCGGGAGTGCTGGATCTGCGGCGACCCCGACCATCTCTCCTTCGAGTGCCCCGACCGCGATGACAGTGACGAGGACGACAACAAGGGAGGTTGTGGATGATCGGCCAGTCGTCGCCCCCGTCGAGTTGAGAAGCCGCGCTAGGAGAAGCAAGCGTCGAAGAAGACGTCGTCGACGAAGGACGTCGACAGCTCCAGCGGCAAGAGCCGAGGCGACGGGGAGGCATCGTGCTCGATGGTCGGCGTGGTGGAGCCGACGGTCTCGCTGGCGCCGGAGGCCGGCGAGGACTTCCAGGCAGTGGCGGCAGCTCTACAGGCCAACCCGATGGCGGTGCTGCTCGACAGCGGGTGCTCCCACCACCTGATGGGGACGAAGTCGGTCTTCGTCGACATGGGGCCGAGCAACGGGGTGAAGCACGTGCGGGGGTTCAACGGGGCATTGCAGCCTGTCGAGGGTCGCGAAACCGTCGCTCTGCAAGGGGAGGCCGGAAAGCGGGTCCTCATCCCCGACGTACTCTACGTTCTAGGCGTACAGGCAAACCTGTTGTCTGCTGGCCAGCTGAAGGAGAGCGGATTGCTGCTGCAGGGCGATGGCGATAAGATGTTGCTCGTCGCCGCGACTGGGGAGGTGCTCGGTCGAGCACGCTACACCGGACGAGTCCTCTGCACCGACCTTCGCCCCTGCTCGACGCCGTCGCAGTCGATCGAGGTGGTGGCTCTGCAAACTATCGTCTCGGCGATGAAGACGACCCCCGAGAGGATGCATGCGCGGCTTGCACACGTCAGCGTCGACACGATTAAGAGCTCGGCGAAGCATGATGTTGCTACTGGGCTCGACATCACGTTGTCAACCGGAGCAGACCCGCCGTGTGTCTCGTGCATCGGAGGAAAGCTGGCGCGGCACACCTTCCCCGCCAAGGGCTCGGATGCAGTGGAGGCGCTGGCTGTCGTGCACATTGACTTGTGCGGGCCATTTCGGGTGGCTGCCAAGGATGGCAGCTTGTACTTCCTACTGCTGAAGGATCGCCATACTCGATTCGTGTGGGCAATGCCGGTCGCTAAGAAGAGCGACGTGCTGCGGGAGTTCGAGAAGTGGCTGGTGCTTGTGGAACGACAGTCGAAGAAGTCGGTCCTATCGCTTCGCTCTGATCGAGGAGGGGAATTCCTCGGGAAGGCGTTCACCGACTTCGTCGACGGGAAGGGCATCGTCCACGACCTGACGTGCCCCTACACTCCGCAGCAGAATGGCATGGCTGAGCGGGAGATGCGCACGGTCGTCGAGTCCGTGCGAACGATGCTGCTGCACATGGGTGTGCAGCATCACTGGTGGCACCTTGCTCTACGACAAGCGGTCTGGGTGCGCAACTGCTTGGAGCGGTCGACGACGCCGCCGGGAACGACTCCGTACCAGCTGCTGACCGGGCAGAGGCCCGACCTTACGCTAGCGCGGGTGTGGGGCTGCATGGTGCAGTTCATGGTTCCCGAGCAGCAGCGCGGTGGAAAACTGGCGCCTATGGCCCGTTGGGGGCTTCACCTGGGTGTGTCGCCAGAGAGCAAGGGCTGGGAGGTGCTCGACCTGACCGACAACAAGGTGGTCACGTCGGTCGAGGTGATCTTCTACGAGATGCTGTCACTGGAGGTGTGGAAGGCGAAGTATGAGCCGGCGTCGGAGCGGACGCAGGCACACCCGCCGACGGCCACCTCAACGGCAACGGTTCCGTTGCTCGCCGAAGTCGATGAACCCGGTGATGAGGATGTTGTGGAGGTTCTTTCCCCTCCCTCTGTCTTTGCTCCTCCGTTCCCCGTCGCAGATCGGTCGGGGTCGGCACCTGTGTCGACCACCGACGATGAGGGGAGCCTTGAGGCGTCGCTTGTGGCGCCGGCCCATGGCATCGCCGGTGGTCGACAAGGCGCCAAGCTCGTCGACCAGGATGGGAAGCCGTCGACGCCAGGGGAGCAGCCAGGGGAGCCGGTGGAACAGGAGGCTATAGGAGCGGTGCAGCCGACAGGGGAGCAGCAGCCGGGGCGGTCGACAGGGGAGCTGTCGAAGTCAACAGCGGGCGAGCAGCCGGTCGACGGGTCGAAGCAGCTGGTCGACGGGTCGAAGCAGCTAGTCGACGACGAGGATGTCGATGAGGAAGGGGAGCAGTCGGCAGGTGAGGAGTCCACCGACAGCGACGTGGTGGAAGTGCCGATCAGGAAGCCTGAGCTGCGACGCACAGGCCGAGCTCGACGAC